TGCTGCTGCTGCAGGTGCATCTGGTGATCTTTGCTGCTGACCAGTGCTCTCTGGCGCAATCAGGCACATTAGCCTCATTAGGATCACCCAAGGATCAGTCGTAGTGTCTGTATGTCTTTTGTATGTGCATTCTTTCGATCCGTCTTGGAGACGCTCTTCCCTTGCCTGGCTGCCTGCCTGCAAACTGTACTTTTGTTTTCATTGCACACTACTACCTTTACTGTGTGTGTGTTTGTTCGCAGTGCAGAGTCCAAGTGGCGATAGCGATGTGTGCCAATTGCCAGGTTCATTCACCACTTGAGCATTACTTGTGCATTACTGCTCAATGGCTGCCTCTTATATCAACTGCTGCTGCCCACAGTTTGATAGCAGCGGAGACTTCGAGAAGGCAGTGTCAAGTGGCACTCCTTGCCCACTCCTGGCGCGCTAGGTCGATGCTGGTCAATGGACATTGCACACACACAGTGGCGGGTGAACACTTCAGACGCAGACATATGAGACAGTAGTGCGCAGTAGTTTGCTGGTGACTTATCTAGCGCTGTCATCAGCCGCCGCCGCCGCCATTTATGTCTTCGTCTTTAGCTTCACCAGCTTCACTTTCACTCCTTCAGCGATCAGTCTATTTATTGGCCCATTCTCCAGGGAGTNTCTTTAGCTTCACCAGCTTCACTTTCACTCCTTCAGCGATCAGTCTATTTATTGGCCCATTCTCCAGGGAGTCAGTCAGTCTGTGTCGTATTGAGTTGTGAAGGACAGAAATGAGCCTTAGGGCAAACAACACTCTTAATTCGTGTCAAGTGTTCTCTTTCTCTCTTCTGAAGTGCCTACCCCAAGCGTGTACGACGGTGCACGTACCACCACCACCACCATCACCACATTACAATTACCTGCATTATCTGTGCTAAATAGCTTTCACACTGTCTCTCTTTCAGCCGTTTACTCTGCCTCAGTGCAACTGTCTGTGGTACTACTGTACCCCCTTGACTTTCCCCTCCCCCTTCCCCTTCTGTACATCATCATCATCATCACCTGTCTGCACTGTCTTGTCTTTTCTCACTTTCACTCACTGTGACTGATCATGTACGGCGATAAAACTGCTGATCAGTTTGCAGTCAGCCGTGTACTGTACTGCCTGTGTGACTAATCGCCGTTCCTTTCCTCGAAGACCTTGAAGTGCTTTCACTGCTGCTTTCACTGCGCGCTTTGCCTGCTTTTCCCCTGCGCTTTTCCGGTGTGCAAACAGGTGGTAGTGGTGGTCAGTTGGTGCTTTATTTAGTCCAATGTCAGACACTCACTTCCTCCCTCCCCTTCACTTCCACTCTGTTCACTTGTTGCTAATCACTTCCTCCACTCTATTTATAATATTGTCTCAGTGCTGAACAGTGGTATTCGGTTGGTCACTCAGTCAGTCAGTCATGGAACAGCAGCAGCAGCAGCAACAGCAGTACACCGCTGAATGCGAAGACCATTCCGAAGACCATGATGATGATGACTGCGATTCAGCAGTGTCCAGCGCCGCTGGTGCTGGTGCCTACCTAGACGATCTGGTGGAGCTGTCCCTCGCCGATGAGCTGCTCTTCTTTGCGCAGTTTTTCATTCACTTGCTCTCTCTGTACTCGCTGTGCTACTTTTGCTCGATGCGTCGATTTCTCGCCGACCAGGTCACCCGTTTCCGGGCAGCAGTGAACCACCGGTTGAGAGGTGGGGGTGGTGGTGCACTAGCACTTTCTGCTTCGCTCCTCGTTCTTCTTCGAGTTCTGCCACTGGGCAGCAGCAGCATCCTCCTCGGCTGGCTTACTTTTCATCCAGCGGTATTCCCCCAGCGAGGCAACGGCGACGACTATATCGATCCAGTGAATGGACGACGACGGCCGAGAAGAGAACGAGAGCGCCCTGCTGCAGCAGCAGCTGATGCTCATGGTGTTGTTGTCGTTGGTCAGGGTTCAAGTGCTGCTGCTGTTGCTGGTCGTCGATGAGTCAGCCGTACAGATTGCTACCCATTTCGTCGTATAAGACTGCCTGTCTGATCGTCTCATTTCCCAGTTTCTCTGCCAGTCCCTCCGTACTGATCGGTGATCAGCGTCGTCGTTGCCGCCAGTGCCTGTTCGGTGTCTTCACCCACCTCGCCCCTCATCACTTGGTGCTCTCAGCGGCTGGCTGCCGCTGCGCTCCCTCACCATCACCATCCCCTCCATCCCTCCATCATTGGGTGCAGTTGTATCTCCTCTTCTTCTTTTTTGTCTTCTTTCCTCCACTGTCTTCCTCCTCCTCTACTACTTCTGTCTTGTACGACTGCTAATCACTGCACCCATCGCCGCTCTCTCATCACTACTGGTCGCCTGTCATCGGCCGTCAGTGTTGTGCCTCCTTTCTCATTTCATTGGCATCATCATTCTCTCGGCCGTCGTCTTCCAGGCAGCATCCACACTCCAAACTCTCCCGAAGATGAAGCCCCAAAGCCTGGATTCGCTCTTCTCCACCTGGCGCCTCTACGCCTTCATGCTGGTGGACCTGTGTCTGTGGGCCTTTCGCATGCTGGCCGACCTCTTCCTCGACACCATCGGCCTGCTGCACCTGCCGCAGCGAGGGCGCATCCCTCCGGTCACCGATCCGCTGCTGATGCAGCCCGCCACCGTCCTCACTGAGCGCATTCGCAAGGGCGAGGTATGTTCTTCACTTTGGTGTCCATTGTTGTTTGTTTGTTTGTCCACTTGCTGACACTGCTCAATTTTCGCAGGTAAAGAGCGAGACGCTGGTGAGCGCCTACATTGACCGCATCAAGGTGGTCAATCCGCTGGTGAACGCCATGGTCAGCGACTGTTTCGAGGAGGCGCTCGCCGAGGCCCGGGCGCTGGACGTTCGCATCCAGGCCGCCCTGGCCAGCCCTGCCACCGCCGACCAGTCGGTGCTGTCGCTGCCCCTGCTGGGCATTCCCTTCTCCATCAAGGAGTGCATCTCCGTGCGGGGCCAGCCCTGCTCTGCCGGCCTCTACAGTCGGCGGCACATTCGCATGGAGGAGGACGCGCCGGCGGTGAAGAGCCTGCGCGACGCGGGCGCCATCATTCTGGGCGTCACCAATGTGCCCGAGTTTCTCCTCTGGTATGTTTCTGCTTTGGCTTGGGGTTTGATTTGGTTGTTAAATGTCGTCTTCCTGTGTAGGTGGGACACGAACAACCGCCTGTACGGTCGGACGAACAACCCCTACGACCTGTCGCGCATCTCCGGGGGCAGCTCGGGCGGCGAGGCGGCCCTCATGTCCGCCGGGGGCAGTCTGGTGGGCATGGGCTCTGACATTGGCGGCTCCATTCGCATTCCCAGCTTCTTCAACGGCGTCTTCGGCCACAAGCCCTCCTCGGACATTGTCCCCTGCACCGGCAACTACCCGTACTGCGGCCACCCGGAGCGGGAGAAGTTCCTCGTCCTCGGCCCCATCGTCCGCTACCCCGTCGACCTGAAGCTGATTATGCGCACCATCGTTCACCCGCACCTGCTGCCGACGCTACGCTTTGATGAGCCAGTTGATCTGCGCCGGAGCAAGTTTCACTTTCTCACCTCTGACGGCGACCCCATGAAGACGCCCGTCTGCCCGGACGTGGTGGAGGGCATTGAGCGGGCGAGGCAGTGCCTGCGCGACCACGGCTGCGCCACCTTCGACGCCGACCTGCCCCTCCTCCGCCACAGTTTCTACATGTGGCTCACCGCCCTCTCCGACATGGACAGTCCGAAGCTGGCGGCGGAGGTGATGGAGCGCAAGGGCGAGCTGAACGGCTGGCTGGAGCTGCTCAAGTCGATGACGGTGGGCTCGCACTTTCGGAAGATCACCTGTCTGAATGTGATCCTGGAGAATGCCGTCTACTCGCAGTCCACCCGCCAGTGGCCGGTCTTTCGGCGGGTGGTGGAGCGCTGTCAGACGCTGAAGCGGCAGCTGGAGTCGCTGCTCGACGATGACGCCATTCTCATTCTGCCCACTCTGCCGGAGAAGGCGCCCAAGCACAATGGGACCTTCCTGCGGATGAACAACTGCGGCTACACGGCCATCTTCAACATCATGGAGCTGCCGGTGACGCAGGTCACCCTGGGACTGGGCAGGCGCACCGGCATGCCCGTCGGCTTTCAGGTCGTCGGCCGACGGCTCAATGACCGGCTGACCATTGCCACGGCAGAGCTGCTCGCCAAGCGCTTCGACGGCTGGACACCGCCTTTTAAGGTGAACCTTTAAGGTGCTCTCTTTAGGAGGTCCAAGGTGCTCCACCACCACCGCATTTAACTTAACTTGTTTCGACTTATTTTATATCTGTGCAATCCTTCACCTTTTTTGTGACTTCTCTTTTTTCGGTAATACTCGTCCCACTATATTTAGGCTTTGGGAGAAAAATACAAATCGATATTTATTTATTAACTGGAATGCTGAAATTCTGGAATGGCAATTATTTGGCCATCACCGGGGGTGTGTGCTGCTGCTGATGATTGTCCTCTTCAGTTTCCTCTTCCACCACCACCACCTGCTGTCACTACTAATGAGCATTTCGATCGCTTTGGTTCGATGATTTGATTTTTCGCCTGTTGTTGCTCTCTGCTTGTTGTTGCTAGGCACTTGTTTTTGGTTCTCAAAGTAATTACACCTTGATTTGGCCTCACTGTGGTGGGAACTGCCCTGAATGTCTGCAGCTGTCCACTTCTGGTGCAGGTGCTTCCTGAAGTACGCGCTGACTGGCGGTATAAAAGGAGGCAGCTCGGCCGGTGGACTGCTCACTTTCCAGCTGACTCCTGACTTGAACATTCCTGACTATTCCTGACTTTCCTGAACTACTTTCGACTCCTCACTCATTCACTCCCTCCCTCCTTGAACCATGATCTCCCAGTCATCCTGTCAGTCTGCCCTGTGCATCGTCCTCCTGCTGGCCGCCCAGCTGCTGGTGCTGACCAGTGCCGATGATGGCCAGAATGTCCGTCTGCCGGCTCGCTTTGGAAAGCGAGCTGATGGTGGTGACTCTGCAGGCAGTGCTGCTGCGGCCAATGTGCCCCTGCTGAAGATGCTGATGCGAGGTGGCAGTGCCGAGCCGCAGTACGTCATCGGCAGCAATGAACAGCTGTACATGCTGGTGCCGGTCAAGGGCGGCGCCGGTGGCCTGAACCGGATGTTGCACAGCGCCTCGACCGAGGAGATGCCCAGTTGGAAGTAGATTTCTCATCATTTAGTGATGCACCCTCTTTAGCTGTTTGCTAATTTGCTAATATGTTGCCGCTTGATTGCGATTCTGTAGCCGGAGGATGGTGGTGATCATCATCACTAGTGCTGACTGTTTGTTCATAACTGTTCTTTTCTCTCCCTCTCTCTCCCAAACCTCTTTACCATTACCACTACTAAATAAAGCAGCTCTTGAACCTTGATTTGGCCTGCCACTGGCAATCCACTGCAGCAGCCTCTCTTTGTCAATCGATCAATTGGCACGATCAATTGACTTGTCGCCCTCTCTCTCTGTGCGCTGATTTGTCGAATCATTCTCTGACAATCACACTCTGTTTATGCAAATGAGTTTGCCAGTGAATGAATGTGTGTGTGTGCTCTAGCGAGTGTGCGAGTGAGTGTGTGTTGGTGTCAGCTCTTGTCTTTCGAAAGTGCTGCGTAATGGTGGCGGTGGTGGTGGCAATACTTGCTATCTGTCCAATGATCAGCGCCACCAATCGATCCACTTACCACCACTTGGCCACTCACTCAAAGTCACCCAGTGCACCAGTGGTGGAAGAGGCCTGGTGTGTGTGTGTGCTCAAGACGCCTTCCTCAGTGTGTNTGGTGGTGGCAATACTTGCTATCTGTCCAATGATCAGCGCCACCAATCGATCCACTTACCACCACTTGGCCACTCACTCAAAGTCACCCAGTGCACCAGTGGTGGAAGAGGCCTGGTGTGTGTGTGTGCTCAAGACGCCTTCCTCAGTGTGTCTCTATGTCTCAGCAGTTGATCAGTATTCGCAGTCACTGATTGCGCCGAGGATTATTGGNCCCAGTGCACCAGTGGTGGAAGAGGCCTGGTGTGTGTGTGTGCTCAAGACACCTTTCTCAGTGTGCCTCTATGTCTCAGCAGTTGATCAGTATTCGCAGTCACTGATTGCGCCGAGGATTATTGGGACTGATCAATGGGGAGATTGTATGTCGGGGCACACTTGGACGACGTTGCTGTTGTTGTTGTTGTTGTCGTTCTTGTTGTTCTTGAGCACTGAGGACACCTTGCTGGTGACGGCATTGGACGATTGCCTTGGAAGTGGCAGCAGCAACAGCAGCAGTCACCGAGCTGGTCGACTGATTGAGAAGCCCAGAAGAAATGGAGGANGGACTGATCAATGGGGAGATTGTATGTCGGGGCACACTTGGACGACGTTGTTGTTGTTGTTGTTCTTGTTTTTGTTCTTGAGCACTAAGGACACCTTGCTGGTGACGGCATTGGACGATTGCCTTGGAAGTGGCAGCAACAGCAGCAGTCACCGAGCTGGTCGACTGATTGAGCCCAGAAGAAATGGAGGAAGGAAGGAAGGAAGGATGCTCGAATGCAATTCGGGAAGGAAGTGGATGCCAGTGGGAATGGCAATGGGAACGGGAACGGGAATTGGCGGCAAGACAAATGGCTGTCCATAAATCTATTGACAGTCATGTGAGATGCTGATGGTGGTGTCGTCCGGCTGGCCAATTCTCACTGGTTGACATGCCGCCGACATGGTCACTCTCGGGTATATAGCCACAGCCACTGCCACCGTTCTGCTCTGCAGAACATTTCGCCTGTCTCCGGTGGCCTTGAGGCGGCGGCGGCGGCGGCATGCCTTTGATTCGATTAGTCGATTATTAGCTTAGTCCCCCAGCGATGTGCTGATGTGAGGATTATATTAACAGCGCAATTCACAATGCAGCCCACACACACACGGACAGCAATTCTCACACTGCTCTTGACACATCTCATGTCATACAAGCGCCTGCTGTACAGAGTGGTCCATTTGGATATTCACTTCCTTTCCTTTCCTTTCCTTTTCCCTGCACCTCTTCACTTATCAATCATTTCATCGTCTGCTCGAACACCAGTAGCAGCAGTCTATTGCAGTAGGCAGTAGGCATCTTTCTTGTGGCTTCAGCGGGGATATGGGAGAATGACACCACACAGCAGTAGAGCACACGGCAGTTGTACGACACTAGTACGACAGTGTACGGCAACAGACAGAGAGAGAGAGAGACAGTATCCCTATCTGCCTCCCTATCCCCCACTCTCTTTCTCCTCGGCTGTGAAGAGTATAAAAAGAGCCAGTCATCGGCGGTAGCATCTTTGGCATCCGAGGAATCAGACGGCAGCAGCAGCAGGCGACAGTCGACAAGCCGACTAGCTTGACACATATTCACTTCACTTTTGCTGAGTGAACACCACTTGTGTCTCTTTCTCTCTCTTTCTTCTGTACACAGTCTATCCTCATTGTTGCAGCAAGTCAGCAGCACCGGCACTTGAACTAATCACCATCACCACCAGCTGCTGCAGCAGCAGTATTCTGCTAATCTCCGCTAATCAACAGATCAGCCGCCTATCTCTCCCGCCAATCTGCAGTGGTAAGTGCCCCAGTGTTATGCAATGAAAGTGCTGTTGCTGCTGTTGCTGCTGCTGTGACAATCAATTGTCAGTCATGCATTCCACCTCCATTCTTCCCATTCAGTCATTCTCTCTCTTTTTCGGTGATAGTTGCACTTGACTGACCACTCACTGATGGTCTTGTGGTGGCGGTGTGTCTCGTGCCCGGGCACCATCACCGCGCCGTCTTGTGACACTTGTCTCTTTCTTTTTCTCTCTCAGCGACTGAACCGGATGTCTGTCAGCACTGTTTTTTGCCAGCACTGTGTTTAATTGCAAATGACCCGAGCAGCTGCCAGACAGCGTTTAACTCTTTTTTCTGTCTCTCTTGAAGTGTTCACTCTGCACTTGTGGTGGTGAGTTTCATTGCCGGTCAGTGCGAGTGGGTGAGTGAGTGAGTGCCGCCGCCAGTGTGAGTATGTAGATCACCACCCCCACCACTGCTGACATTGACAATGGCAGCAATGAGTGCCAACGACGGCAGCAGCAGCAACAGCAAAAACACTTGCTAATGAATCCACTGTTTGCTTTCCAAATTGCTGATCCTCTTCTTCTTCTTCTTCTTGTTCTTGTTTTGCAGAAAGAATTTCCAGACTTTTCATCTTCTTCCTTGCAATCCTCTCATCCAGCATGAAGCAGCTCCTGAGGCATCATCGGCCAGCGTGCCCGGTGCCGCTGTGCCTCGCCCTCTTCCT